CTTCCTCTCCCTCTTGGCTGTTGATTTCGATCACGGTCATTTTTCATTTTCCGCTCCCTCTTGACTGTTGGTTGAAATCATGGCCATCCGAATGAATATCCTCCAACGGAGCCCGGAGGCAGGCGCAGCTACACCGGGATGCCTTCCAGTCATGGTTGACACCATGTCTGCCGCCAAAATGGGTACGTGACCTTTCTCCCACACGTTCGCTCCTTCCCATGTCCCGATTTAACCACACAAATTACGCACACAACTTCCAAAAAGCAAAATGAGTACCAGCGCACCTGCTGAGTTGAAAAATGCAGGAAAAATATGCTCCTCGAGCTCCAGTTTCTCATCCTCCAACCTTTATCCTCCAACCTTCATCTTCCAAACCACCACACCCCGAGACTGGCACAACTCCATCGTGATCAACACGGCCTCACCGGGTCTCTTGCCGGTCGTGCAGTTGTACTTGTATGCTCAAGTCAAGTTTTGCCATTTTCATGCTAATATTTCCTCAGACACTCTCACGAGACTCGTGGTTGACTGACCTCCTTCTCGGTATGTCTTTTGGTCCTGCAATTTTCCCTGACATTTCCCAGAACCAGCTCCAACAGTTCCAGCTCTCCCCGTCTGCACTTGATGCTACCATTCCACTACCTTTTGTGCCAATTCCAGTGGTCATGCTGACAAGGTCGCTAGTCTGTTCTTGAGCACTGTCGGTGGTTGCGTTTCCACCAGCACTGCTTCAAGTCACTTGTACGTGTCTCACTCCATGTCTACCGTTGTGCTCGTGCTGATAATTCATGTCCAGTGTGTCGTTTTGTTTTCTCGGTTCGGTTCTGTTTTCAACTCGGCACTGCTTCTGTATGTTCTCTCTGGTGCACCTCGAGTGACTTTGCTGACTTGGCCATGTCCAGTGTTGACTGTTTTCTCGATTTGGTTCTGCTTTCAACTGGAACTGCTTCTGTATGTCCTCTCCTCTTCCCATCACGGTGACCATGCTGACGTTCCATACCCAGTGTTCGACATTGTCTGTTTTCTCGGTTCGGTTCTGTGTTCAACTCGGAACTGCTTCTGTATGTCCTCTCCTCCTCCCATCACGGTGACCATGCTGACGTTCCATACCCAGTATCCCATTGTTCATCTGCTTTCTCGGTTCGGTTCTGTCTTCATTTCGGCACTGCTTCTGTATATGCTTGCACCCTCCCATCCCAGTCCCCATGCTAACTTGGTCATGTCCAGGGTTCAACATTGTTCATCTCTTTTGTCGGTCCTGTCTTTCAACTCGGGATTACTCTTCAGTCGGTTCCTGTACGTGTCCTGTCATCTTGCTGCTCCCATCCGAAAGGTTATACTGACATGTACCTAGTCTGCCTTTCATATTTCCTTTCCCTTTCATCTTCCTCTCTTCTCCCCCCGGTACTCGTTCTCGACCAGTCTTGGTACGTTTACTCACAACTCTCTCTGCCTTGGTTATGCTCCGTGATACTGATCCACGACATGCAGGTCAAACGCAACCATGGCTCCCGTCCGCAAGAAGAAAACAGATGCTCGACATTCGCCGGCAACGGTCAAATGTCCAACATGTGGTGGGGCCTTCCGCAATAGATTCCGTCTCAATGCACACCTGGAGACACACAAGCCCAGAAAGGATCGCAAGATGTACCAGTGCACTCATGAAGGTTGTACCCGGACTTTCACCACAAAGGGTAACCTCACTCAACATATGATGGTACACGAAGAAGTTCGTGAGCTCTACCCTTGCCCAATGAAAGGCTGTGAGACGAAGGTGCTGTCTCAGTCCCAGCTTGCTAGTCATCTGGAGACGCACAAGGCAGAACGGAAAAGGTACTTCTGCACCGAGAAGGGCTGCGACAAGTCGTTCTCCTGCCAAAGTAATCTCAATTTTCATGTGCGCACAGTACACGAGAACCAGCAACGTCATCACTGCACCAAGGAAGGCTGTCCCAAGTCGTTCACATCACGAAGTCATCTCGAAAGACACATACGGACCGTGCACAAGACCGCGCGACGTTTTCACTGCACCGAGGAGGGCTGTACCAAGTCGTTCAAGGAACGAAGTCATCTCGAAAGACATGTGCAGACCGTGCACAACGAGAAGCGACGACTTTATGAATGCTCCGAGGACGGCTGCGACAAGTCGTTCAAAACCATCGAAGGGCGCCAACGACACATCGATGCCAAGCACTCCGAAAACCCCCCACGTCATGAATGCCCTGAGGACGGCTGCGGTATGTCGTTCACATGGGGCGGTTCTCTCAAGAAACATCAGGAGAGCGCGCATGGTGAACCGACAAAAGAGCATCTGGCATGGGTCGAAGGTCGGCGTTTGGAACGTGTAGCTTGGCTGGCTGAGAAGCGTGCGAACGGCATATGTGACGCGACAAAGTCCTGCGATCGCCTGCCACTGGAGCCTCACAGCAAGTGTCTGGCTCACCTGAGTAGGTCGTCCCACCGCCGTGCACAATACACGTATTCCTCATGTCTAACCGTGGACAACAGGCTTGATCAAACCATGGGAGGAGGCCCTTGCGGCCGCAGCAACGGCCGAGAAAGATAATTCCAAAAAGGCTCGCAAAGGGTTTGGCAGTACCATCATGGATGCTGATGACATGAGAGAAATACTGGATGATGGACTTCCCCTCAAGATTGACTACTTCGACCTTTTCCGACAGGTCAAGGATTCTGTGGATCAGCCTGACGGCACCGATTTCATTGTCGACGTTGAGGGGTCCAACGCGAGTGCCCAAGCCTACGAAGTCTCAGTCTTCAGACCAGACAACACACGCATTCTGACAACCGTCGTTGACTGGGAGATGGAGACAAAGTGTCTAGGGGCCGACGGCAACTACATTGATGCTAAAACTGTAACCAAGATCTACAAGGGAGGGAAGCGAACATTCGGTATGACGCGGGAAGACATTGCTGACAAGCTAACTGCGGCTGGAATGGATGCGTTGAGCACTATCTTTATGTGGGGTGGCTCGCTAGACCTTCGTTGCCTCAAAGGAACACTTGGAGAGTTCATGGACTTCCCGGAGGAGTCAGTCGATTGCATGAGACTATGGAAATCATCTCTTCCTGGGCTGCCAAACCATCAGCTGAGCACAGTATACTCGATCTGTTTTCCGGATTCGGACCTCGTGTATCAAAGACATCGGGCAGAGGCAGATACCAAGATGTGTCTCAAGCTGAATAAGCTGTTTGTGGAGAGCGTCGACTAGTGTTAGGTTAGGAGGTTGCTTTGCTGGAGATATTTCGGGTGGAGACACATATTTGCTTTTTTTGCTTTGAAATTCTTTTCTCATGGTGGAGAGGACAACAAGGTGTAATGTGGTGGATGCTGTCAGCAAGAACTATTAGCTACAACTGTATCATATGATTACAAGAGGCTATCTTTGGGAGACTCATGCTAGAATTAGCTTTACCAGTAATCTCATAATTGGAAGCCACTCTATGCAATTCATGTGATCCACCAGAAAACATCGCCGAGACTTGGAGAAAGAGCTCAGTACATTGATGCAGCATCTACCTAGATCCCTTGAGAACAATGGTAATTACAACCCACACGAACTCTGTGATATGACTGCTAAGGCCTACAAATAGCTCTTGTCTATAGTCATTATGCTGCTATTCGCATCCGCTTGTTCGAATCTGTGATGCATGGCCAGCAGAGCGATAGCTTTGAGCCTACCAACTTTCGTCCCGATTTTCTCTGGAATTGTCTCAAGAACACAAATATGCTCATTAACAAATATCTTTCCTTGTCAATCGAAACCTTCCCGACCCTCGCATTCACCTCGATGCTTCATCTAGCGCTAGCCATCATCAAAGCAACACAGCTATTGCTCAAGGAAGACCACAACTGGGACATAGACCTGGCCAGGGCAAGCGTTGATTTGGGAGACCTTTTACAGAAGCTCAGTGACTGCTTCGACGCGGTCAATCAACTTGGCCAACCCAGATGCGGCATACTCCTTGATGGTCGGCCTTTCTTTGCCACGCATGCTCGAAATTTTCGATGGATGCGCGAAGGGTACCTGGCAAAATCCGGATTGGGCAATACTGTGTATGTCAATTCATCCTTCATGGAGCCCTTGTTTGGGCAATATTTTGAGCAACATGATGGTGTCGAACTCTGGCAGCAATTGGCCGATCTGAATGGCGGGGTCATGTTTTGAGCTCCACGCCCAATTAACCTAACCTAGGGTAGTATAGGGACATTTTGTATGCAATAGATATATACTAAAACCATCCTTTTGTTCCAATAAAAGATGGATTGGCTAAGTTTGAATTAAGATTAATATTACGGTATGACGTGGTACATGATTATACGAATTTATGAGTCGGTTATATGCCAGAGTCCTCCTGAACAATGGCCTTGGCAGTCTGGTATTCACTCCAAGCGTCACAAGTGTCTTGCAAGCGATCAGTGTCTACGGTCTGCATGATCTCGCTTTGACGCTCCACAAACTGCAAAGCAAAACCCTCCGAGGTGTGCCAGCCAATGTGGCAGTGCATCAACCAGGCACCGGGGTTATCGGTATAAAATGCAATAGCTACGTAGCCGCTTCCCGGCAACATGACGACGTCTCTTCGGGGTGGGTTATCGGTCTTGAGGGTAACAGTGTCATCAAATGAGCCACTGCCTTGGGCGAGGATGACAAAATCTAGTGATTTCATGAGTTTTAGCTTCTTTAACTCAATGATAATGTTGGGTGTTTATAGTTTCAATTGTTAAGACATTGAGGGGTGAAATAAAGACAAGAGCGAGGGAAAGAAAGAGTTGGACAAAACACATGCTGACTTACCGTGACCATGAAGATGGATAGGATGGCTGACCTGGAAATTGGTCTCTATAATAAGATACACCCATACGTTGGCTTCATCCAGAGTAACAACTGCATTGGAGCTTTCGAACTCGGTCACGTTGTTATAGAGCTGGAGAAGAGATGGGTCGGCCCAGTCGGTGATCATAGTGGTAGAGTTGACTATACCGAACAAAAACGTGTCAGTATTCCTCTTTTGGATGCTTAAATGTGTGGCAGGTTGCCGTAGCTGATTGCTTGTGCCATAGGCAACTGAAGTATTGCCGTGACCGGGGACAGGGCCAGAAGAAGTGACATGTGACTCACGGAACCATCTAAATCCTTGTCCATTATACATGTTGACAGAAGCCAATTCGATGATCTCAGTTGACATTGCTCCGACAGTCTGCGAGACCACGGGCACGAGGTTATCAGTCTCGTCATCGCACGCATCGACATAATCATATCCGGTACTTGTGGGCAGTGTATTTGAGCCCTCGTAGTAGACGATACCCTTGATGTTATCCTTCATGTCGTTAGAACTACAAGAACTCATCGGTATGCTTCTCATCCAGAAGCTGTCGGCTACAGCTCCTTGATTGGCAGTCACAATGACATCGTAACGTTGACCTGTTATGTTTACATTAGTATCATTTCACCATTCATAAATATACTTAGAAAACTTATGTCGGGGCATATTAGAGGGCTTGATGTGTAATGACTCTTACCTCCTCCAAGAGTTATGATCTCGGCCGTGTACGGCTCAATAGGAACAAGATCACTGGCAATGACCGTAAGAGTATGATTGTCGATGCTGAACTTGAAGCTAGAGTCAATAGCTCCGTTGATAACTCTCATTCGATACGAAGTGCCTGGAGTGAACGTCATGTTCCACCGTTCTCCAGTCTGCTCGCTTGAGTCGTCATCACCATATACATTCTTTCCATTGAGTAATCCATTTGATTGTCCAGGAGGGCCCCTGGTCTCTGCAACCGCGAACAGCTCATCAGGAGTCTGATGAGTCCAATCGCTCAAAAAGATTGTACCTGCGTCCACATCGTAATTGGCAGAGGCTGGCCCGTTGATGACAATGGGGCCAAATACGCCTTGCCAGGCTTGCAGAGCAAAGTGCGAGTGATACCACGTAGTGCCATACTGTGTTGCCCTCCATTTGTATGTTATACTGGTTCCGGGAGGGGTAGGACATTGGGTAATAGAAGAGACTCCATCTTGGTCGTTTGTGTAGTTTTGGCGTATTCCGTGAAAGTGCAGAGATGTTCCGTTTACCGAGGTGGTTAGAGCATTGGTTAGATGAACAATGATATAGTCTCCTATATGGGGGTCAGTTTATAGCCGCAAAGAAGAAAGTATATAATAGCCACAAACCCCAATCCGCGGTAATGGTTGGCCCCGGAATACTGCCATTAATAGCTTCCACAAATCTTTCTACACCATCTGGTGATGCAGTGCCCTCAGTTAGCTCAAACCAGTATTCCCGGGTAACACCTGTATCGGGGACCTCTGTGTAGTAGTCTGTTGAAATATCGAAGCCGTTGCCCCACTGGGAACGAGTTGATGCAGTGTTACCAAAGGTGGCTTGCGCGCTAGACGAAGTCGTTGTAGACGAGATGGTTGTAGATGAGACGGTTGCGGATGAGTTGGTTGTTGATAAGCCGATAGTTGATGTTGCCGTTCCAGATGTGACAATTCCAGATGTGTCCGCCGCAGAAGAGACGCTTGGGGACACGCTTGATGAGACGCTTGACGAGACGCTTGAAGCGGTTCCACTTGGCGAAGAAATGATCGTCGAGACGCTTCCAGAGTAAACGTTTCCTGCAGAGACCGTTGCCGAAGACTCGCTTGCTGAAGAGACGGTTCCAGAAGAGAAACTCACAGCATAGTCGTTTGCTGAAGAGATGCTTGCAAAGGAGATGGTTGCCGATGAAGTGATTTCTGAGACGCTTGTAGAAGAAATACTACCAGTTGAGGCGCCTACAGAATGGCAAGATGAGCAGGAAGATGAATAGAATGAGTGAGACGCTGAAGCATTTGCTGAGGATCCAGTTCCCGAATCCGATAGTGAGATAGTAGAGGATGCCGAAGAGTGACTTGAGAGACCTGAGTATGATGCAGTGACTCTTGAGGACTCGCTTGCCGGACTCCGACTAGGAGTCGAAGCCAAGGAAACTGTGGCTACGTTGTGGATAAGAGTCTCCGAAACTCCAGCCGTAGCTGAAGTTCCGAATATCAGAGAGTTTTCTGAAAGTGGTAAACGAGAGTGTTTGTGGCAGGCTGCATTTGTGAGGGATGGAAGGGATAGCAGCGCCCCGGCTGAGAATAAAGACAACAACATTATGCTAAACGAATGACTACCAGGAGAATCCTAAGTGAATGAACATTGGAAATAGTTCATGGCGAATCACAGAGGTTCTCTGCATTTCTTATACCTGCACACTTGATCATGATGGTAGGTTTCCAGTTCGGTAATACTAGGCTGGAATCCGCGACAAGCTCCGAGCTGACTATGACCGAGAGTATCCCTGGAAAGCTCTGGGTGCCGTTACCTGAAAAGACATTGACCTGAAATCATTGATTTCACCTACCGCAAAAGTGTGGAAATACGAGTTGCGTATACTACGAGCTATTTTGTTCAGCTACTGTCCCACTCCAGAATTCAACGCTTGGGCGGTCAATGTGAATACGAATCTCCTGGGAGCGTTCCGTCGCTAGTGAGCTACCATTTAAAACTCACAGTTGAGATGACATCTAGACCACAAATTTTAGGAAAGGCTGTGATCGAATCAGGAGTAATGTGGATACTTTTGCAAAGCGTTTGGTCCACCGTCTCCCGTATTCCATTCCTTGCTACGATCTCGCCGATCCCCCGCGATAAGCCCCCACTGAACTGGATACAGATCTATCCCACACAAATCATGTCGATTCCCATCCAGACACACTGAACAGATCGAATTGTCTCATTTTACCCTCTCATCATGATTTTGAATATTGTTTCTATATACCAACGTGTTTCCTCGAGTTTTTTGGGCTCTCAGGCCCCTTTTCTCATGATACGCGTCCTACCCACTTAACTCCCGGCTCTATCGACTAGTTTTCCGACAAAGTAAGTCAATGCGCTAGAATCGGCTTGCCCAACTAAAATGGACTACCGCTGGGCCAGTGCTTCTCGATAGAGTTCGGAGTATCTGCCAAGGCTTCGGGTACTGCACCCATGCCCTTTAGAGTCTCCAAATGATATAAACTGCATTCTGGGCTTTTCTCGATCCAAGCTTTAATGCGCTGCTGCGGTAGAGCAGATACGATGGTTAGCTCCTTGGACGCGTCATCCCGGGGAAAATTTATCTTCATTAGCCGGATTATGGGTCAAGGTAATAATTGGATAGGTATATACACAGCCATTCCGTAGCGCAGCCATCTTCAAACCAGACGACTGCAGTACTGGCAACTACATCGCTCATTTTCCTATTCAACTACTGACATATATTCATTCGCTCATTTTATCTCGTCTCTTTATTCGTCATGTTTGCTAAAATCTGTCATATTCTCCCACTGGGCCTCGGTGCTGTCGCCGTTGCTATCCAGAGTAGGGCAACAACCAACATTGGTTTCTATGCCTATGCTTCTTCGTCTTCTGCTGGAATAGGAGGCCTACCGGTGCAGTACATTGATGGTATGTAGACTGCTCCCGTGTGCGCGAAGTTTTGCATTTCTGACTAACCGATGCAGGCATGGCTTATGTCGTTGACACGGCTGTTGTAACCACTGGGGAAAACGTGACTTGTGAGTGACCCCTATTTCATTTTTGACCACACGAGACTACTGACCACATACTTAGTCTCTCTTGTGTCCACAACCTTTGCTGCAACTACTGCGGACGGTGACAAGAGTCTGCTTTACATCCCTTCAACCTCTGGCGCTGTGGGCTTTACCTCTGCAGCCAGTGAAACAAAGGTCACGACCAAGTTTGGAACGTACGGCACGGTAGTGTACAACTACCATACTGGTTCCATCGAGACCCTCTTCTATGCCGAGCCTACTGAGACGACGGGCTTATGGCAGCTCACTTGGGACAGCGACAACACTGATGCAATCGCTGTAGCTATCAAGGATAATGCTCCAACATCATAGAGAATTGTCTCAGTCGTCTTTGGGGACATCAAAGCAGATAGAATCACGTACATCATGTTCTAATGCGCATGGTCTCGATAAATAATGCGTTTGCGTTTCGGTGATAGTTAGATACCTACCTAGTATATCAGACATATAGTTTGTGTTATTGCACAGATTCTAATCAATCGTGAGAGCCAATTAAACATTTTATTGAATCTTTGGTGTAATCTGTCATCGCTGTGCTGATACTTGCGCAACTCTGTTGTACTTGGACGGTTAACCTCTTCCTTAAGATGTTGATTATTTGGAATTCATTAAGAACTAGTGACAACGACAGCGTAACAGTAGCAGCGATTTCGATCTCACCGAGGTCAATACCATACCCGCATGGATTGCAGTCAATTTTCAAACGCTGTCCCAATCGCTTTCGGGTGGGCGAACACGGAGGCCTCAAATAAGCATGCTGGAACTTCCTTTACGACTAATGTAGGTTGCATGGTGCTGCCAGTTCTGCTTATATGAAGATAGAGGTCCAGTGAAAAGTCTTGGACTTTTTGTCTACTGCATCGATGTACATGATTGGGTATATTCATACAAAACAAAAAAGATAACGGCGAGAATTCAAAGTAATAGATAATTAACTTTCAGTCACAATTGTCGTTTGTGCTCATGGAGATTCAGTACCCACCACTTATACCAGTATTCGTCCTTACCTAAATTTGTAGATGGTTGGGTTTGGAACTGGGAACATCTCAATAGGTGACTCTAGTTACGGGTCCGCAGGGATCATGGTGACTACGTACAAATAAATCTAATAGCGGCCGAACTGGCGCCTACGAAGCAAAAAAGGGCGCCGGACGAATCAGTGTAACAAACGGCCATTAATTAGTAACCCCTTATATGTCTTGATCAAAATTTTGGAATGGGTTTTAACCTTGGGCTTTCGTGACTTTTATATACCTAGACATGACAGTCAAGGACAAGCAAGCCGACTCCCGCTCGATCCATACACTGTGCCGCATAGTAGCAGCAACGCATTAATGAAAAGTGGCACCAGGGAATCCGCGACGCGCTGGGTATAATTCCAATGATGCATTCGCTTACATCACCGGGAAGAAGAAAATCACCTTACCTTGGTTATTTCGAAGTGGACATGGTGTCTCGTGAAATAATTTATTAGATCCTAAGCTACGAGCAGTATTTCCATTCGCTGTGATTGCAAGACTGCCGGTCATTCGTGTGTCTCGCAGCACGCATTTCAAGTGCCTGCCAAGTACATAATATATAAGCCTGTGCAATCTGTCGCTGCTAAGAAGATTAAGGGATGTGGTTTAGTCCAATTACGAAAGCGGAGCTGGAGGGTTGGGAAGTTCTCGATAAACAATACCCCAGAAATACAAGAAGGATCCTTACAGCGTTATGGCCATTTCCGGTTGCGGGGCTGTCATAACTACATCTCGGTATAAATGCTTAGTAGAGCTCCGTCACCCTGTTCCAAGTTTTCACCGAACTGTTTATCCATTCATCACTTGCTAAAGATAAATTGCCATCATGACCAACCAAATGCTTTCCTTTATTAACATTTTGAGTTTCGTAGGACTTGTTACACTTCTCACTTGTGCGTATAGAACTTTCAATTGGGTTCTTTTATACACGCGACCATCACGTTTGCGACGCTTCGCGCACCCATCTCCCAATGGGGAGGAATGTTGGGCCCTGGTTACCGGTGCCTCTGATGGGATCGGCAAAGCTTTCGCACATGAGCTTGCCGCGAATGGCTTCAATGTCGTACTCCATGGTCGAAACGACGCCAAACTTCACCGCGTAGTTTCTGAGCTCCAAGCGACATTCCCACGGCGTTCATTTAGGGTGCTTGTCGCTGACGCTAGCAACGTCGCGGATACCGTTCATCTCGCTACCGGTTCTGGATCGGCCAAATTTGAATTTTTGGAACACTTATACGTCACGGCATTAATCAACAACGTTGGTGGCAGTGTCTTGAGCCCTGATTACCCCCCATTGAGTGCAACACCAGAGTCCAGCATCGCAAGCAACGTGAGCCTCAATGCTCTCTTCCCACTGCATCTGACGCGTGTTCTGCTGCCAAGACTCGCCCAGAACCAACCGTCGCTCGTCCTGAACATGAGTACACAGGCAAGCACCGGGCAGCCTTTAAACTGTTGTTACGCTGCTAGTAAAGCGTTTCTCATTTCACTTACGCGAGGCCTGCGACTAGAGATGTTCATGGAGGGTGTCGATGTGGAAATACTAGGCATACAGTGTGGGAGAGTCACAGGAGCTGCGGGCTTCACTGATGCTCCCTCATTATTTGTACCCAGTGCTATTAGGATGGCTCGGGCAGCTTTGGCGAGAACTGGTTACAACGCTGGGGTGGTCACAGGTTATATCGGGCACTCACTACAGCTCATGCCGTTGACTATATTACCTGCGTGGGTAGTAGACCAGCTGTTTATGAATATCATGCGTCGCGTCAGCGAAGGGAGATTTGGAGGAGGACAATCGCGGAAGTCACGGTAAGGGATGCGCGGCAGGCTTTTGGGTACCCTCGATAAGAATCAAAAAACCGTCAACAGCACTCGACTGGTTACTTTGTCATCCCATAGCTAGATAATAGAACCATGCTTTTACCACACTGAAGTTAAACTTATATAATAATTAATGCATTATATTTAAAAACAGCAGCGCAGGGGAAGATGGTGTGTATTAAATATAACTACGGATAATTTAAAATATAAAAATTAAAAGATTGCTTTATATTCGTAAATAAACTTTCCCGAAAGATCTTGTATATTATAAGTTAATTTATATTTGAAAATATATATTTTAAAATTATAATATTTCTTTTTCTCTTTTTCTCTTTTT